TTAATTTGTTTTAATTTTTGCTCAAAAGTACTATATACTTGATGTTGTAATTCAATTATATCAGCAGTTAAATTTTCATGGTTTAGCAAATGTTTTTTGACTTTACTCCAAGGAAATAATGTTTCATTATAAAGAACAGGGGTTACACAAAAAGAAGAAACATTCCAATCACATTTCAGTTTAACTTGTTTTTCTAAACTATACAATTGGTCACCTAACAAAATTACTGTTTGTTCTAAATCAGCTAATTCATTATGTATTTCAGTGTCAATCTGCTTTTGAGATACCCATAATTTTTCTGCATTGGAATGTCATTTAGATACAAATTTTTCAGTTTTCACAGACTCCGTGAGAGCTACTCCTGCAACAGCAGCTTCTGCAGTGATAGCTATCAGTCCAAGAACTGAAATTATTAGAAGGCTGATGAATCTCTTCATTCTCTTTGTCAGCTTCTGGGCTAGACTCGCTAGGATGGAAATGGCTGGAGATTCCTCCCATGGTCTTGCCATCTTCATGGGAAGCCACACACCAGTTCTGGCTCAGAGTAGATAAATTTTATTTTGGGAAAAATTAAATCTCATAGACACATTAAAGCATGTGAACAATTGACATTTGCCTGGACAATGTATTTCTCCAGTAACTTTATTCCAGGTAATATTTCCAACTAGCCAAACATAAGGAAGTTTTACACAAGCATAAGTAAAATGGGCTTCTTGCCATTTGAAATGAAAGGTATGCTGAAACTGATGTCCAGATTTATGTGTATGCACACCTTTCCATGCATGTAATCCATATAAAGCTGCTCTAATTTTCCATAAATCAGGCTGCGATGGATAGCCATAAATACCTGGAGCTGGTGGTGCAAAACCACTTTCTTTCCACAAAAGCTCCTTTGATGAGGAGTAAATTATATCAGTGGAATTTCTATAATAATTAAGATGACTAGAATTAGATTTCTCCATCACATAAGCTAAAGGTCTTCAGTCAGTGTTGTATCCAAATTTAGTTTGTCTCAAAGCATATAAATAGGAACCTCGGCATTTTGACCAGTGAATCCAGTCAGTAATATCAGTAAACATATGTAATTTGCACTGAGGCAAATGAGTCAATAATGCATGTTGTTTTAAAATTAATTTAGTAAAAGTCATTGTAGTTAGTAAATACATTTCATGATGACCAGAATTATTTCTTAAACTAATCCATTGTTGTAAGCCAAAAGATAAGCAAGGAGGTTTCGGGCCTAAACATATAGGTGGTCCCGTGACTCCAGTGGAATAATTGGAGAGAATTGTTCCCTCTTCTTCTGGCTTAAAGGGACCTCTATCATCATATGGTCCAGGGAACCATGAACTCTCATTCACATAGATAGAAACAGAGGGTTCAAACCATGAGACTCCTCTTAACAATGGTGGGTTAGGAATATAACTCCAATAAATATAATTTTGTTGTGCACTTACCTGTGTGTTAATTATGGCTATCATTGCAAGAAACAAGGCTCGAGGGGTCACTGGTTGATTGCTCACCATCACAGTTATTTTTGCTTCCTGGCATAGTTGAGAAATCCCTCTCCAAGTTATTGGGGGAGGGAAGTGCCATTTCCTTTGCATTCTCCAACTGGAACTAGGAATTAGCTGTTTTCTCTGTTCTTTCAGTGACAGAGATAACATCTCCACAGTCAGATTCCTGTCTCCTCTTCACCTTCTCTGTTAGGGGCACTGTTGGTGAGGGCATGGTGTCATGTCACAGTTTGATGTGTTTGTCTGGAAGCCAGAATTCATTGTCTCCTGTGGAGAGAAGAGCATACCCTCTACCCCAACGCACCACTACAGCTGGAAGCCATTCATTTTTTATTATGTCTTTGTAATATACAGGCTGATTAATGGCTGATGGTATTATTTTTACCCAAAGTTTATCAGAAGGAGCTTTTCCTTCATTATCCAAATTTAAAAAATTTAAAGTAAAAAGAGCTGAGTGTATTCTATTGTGGGGAGTAGCATTATATCCTATTCCCCCTTTCTGTTTAAAAAGCATATCTTTTAGAGTTCTATTTTGTTTTTTAATGATGGCTTGTCCAGTGCTATTTCCTGGAATTCCTGTAATATGCTTAATATGATATGCTTTAAAAAATGATTGACATTTTTTAGAAATATAAGCGGAACCATTATCTGTTTTGATGGCTGTAGGGACATTCATAACTGTAAAAGCTTCTAATAAATGTGTAATAACAGCATCTGCCTTCTCAGAGGTTAATGGTGTGGCCCATGATTTGGGAATGAAGAGGTTAATGTAATTCCATTTGGGAATGAAGAGGTTAATGTAACTCCATTTGGGAATGAAGAGGTTAATGTAACTTCATTTGGAAATGAAAAGGCTAATGTAAACTCCCTACTCCCCTTCTGGGCAAGGTATCAGAAGGAGACTGGCTCCCTCCCTTGCTTCTAGGCAAGGACAATTAGCCCAGAAGGAACCAAACTGTCTGGAACAAACAGGTAGCCCCCCCCACCTCTAGAGTAAGGTGACCAGACGTCCTGCTTTTGGCAGGACAGTCCCAATTTTTAACAATTTGTCCTGCGTCCTGTGGCATTTTTAAAAAGCCCCAATTTTTGGAAAGAATGCACGACAAGCTAGGGAACATGGGAGAATAGGAAGGGAATATAGAGTTTTCAGCTGCTATGTGGCTATTTCTCCATGATATGCATTTTAGATTATTTTTGTTAATTTTATAATGTTAAGCTTTAATAATAACAAATAATTGTTGAAAACTGATTATTGAGAACTGCTTATCAAAGTGTGCATTGTTGTCAGGCTCCGCCCCCCAATGGTGTCCCGTTTTACCAATGTTAAAATCTGGTCACCTTAGACAATGGGCACCCTTGTCTTGTTCTTAGGTGGAATGCTTTATCATTCAGTATAATGTTGCCACTGGCCCTTTTTAATCAATCATTCTTTCCCAGTGTAAGCAAAAGACCCTCTCTGATGTTCCTGCCATCTACCATATTGCGTTCCACCACCCTCCCCTTATAGTCACCTATCTCCACTCAGTTCTCTCCTCCCCTCTGATATTTGTCCTTGAAACCTGATTCTCACATCTTCTAGGCCTTAACTCTTTCCCGTATCCCAGAAGGTCTCATCATCCAGATAGATAGCCTACTCTACTCCCTAACAACCCAACTGCAATGATGTTTTCTTCCTGTCTTCCAAATTTCTCCTATATTTATACTTATTATACTCACTCTTCAACCACATTCTCTCTCTTCCTTATATTTTTCAATATAGTGGCTCCACTACTATTCTTATTTCTTTTCAGGCTGATCCTGGTCCTTAACGGAGCATCACATGATCCATTTGAATCAATGCTATGATCAATTCCCTCACTTTTATTTTGCCAGGACAACTTTGCTATAATCATCCAGCCCTAGATTAGTTCTTCATCAAATATCCCTTCTCTATTCCTCCACATGATGACTAAGTATTTATGAAGAAAATGGTCAATTTTACTGAATAATTTCATCACAGCTTATAAGACATTTCTCCAAGAGGTACTTTAATATCTCTATTTATTCTGTGTGGCACCTGTGGCATAGTGGGTAGGGCTCAGGGCCCATATAATGAGGGTGGTAGGTTTGAACCTGACCCCAGCCAAACTGGAACAAAAAAATAGCTGGGTATTGTTGCCTGCACCTGTAGTCCCAGCTACTTGGGATGCTAAGGCAAGAGAATTGCCTAAGCCCAGGAGTTTGAGGTTGCTGTGAGCTGTGATGCCACAGCACTCTACTGATGGCAATAAAGTGAGACTCTGTCTCTAAAAAAAAAAAAAATCTCTATTAACTCTAGAATTGCTAGGAAGGAAAGCTTAAGAAATCCAGTGCTTAAAGACTAGACTTTTAATTTTGCTGTCTGTCACTTAGAGCTTAACTGCAGAGACTAGAATTGCCACCAGCTAGTTTTAAGAATAAAAGATTTTCTCCTTATCTGGTGAAGGGCTGAAAAAAATATAGTGTATGTTGACTTTCCAAGAACAACTTCCTAAAACACCGGGACTGGCAAGGGAGCTTCTAAGAAGCTATAAAATTAGGAATTTGCCTACAAGGTTGGGAAAGCCACAATTATATTTGTTTATTCAAGAGCCATTTCATACTCACTATTATCAAGAAGCCATGGCTCCCTATTAAGAAGTTACCACAAGCTATGGCAACTAGTGGAAGACAGCATTCAAAATGGCCCCCAGTGATCCTTGCCTCTTGGTATCTGTGCCCTTCTATAGTCCTCTCCTATGTTGAATAGAGCTGCCCTCTGGAACCAATAAGATATCATAAAGTGACAGTATATGTCTTTTAAGATTCTGTATTAAAAGATACTGCACTTCCACTTTGCTCTCTCTTGGATCATTTCCACCAGAAGAAACCAATTGCATGTTATAAGAACACTCATACAACACTCTGCACAGTAGTCAATCTAGGAAAGTATGGAGGTGTCTTCCATCAACACCAACTTGCTAGTCATGCATGTGAGCCACCATGGAAGTGGATCGATCCTTCAGCTCTGGTCAAGCCTTTAGATGACTGAAGTCCTGCCTGACATACAACTGTAACTGAGAGATGTCAAGCCAGAATTGGCCACCTAAGCTGCTCCTAAATCCCTGACACACAGAAATTGTAAGAGATAGTGTTTGCTGCTCCTAAATCCCTGACACACAGAAATTGTAAGAGATAATTGCTATTGTTTTAAGCCACTATGTTTCAGGGTAATTTTTAATGCAAGATGACTAATACAGATATCAGTATCCTGTGCATTATTCCTTTCTTCAATGTGTTTTGAATGACCTCATTGCCTTTCTTCTCTTTCATATCCCACCACTTAACAGTCAGTTCTCTAGGAATGGCCTAGGCTCTTCCATTTTCTGGTTCATCCTTCACTAACTTTCAGATAATGACTTCTATTGGAATAACCTCCCACAGACAACAACTATATTTGGCTAAAGTTTAAAAAAAAAAACTACTGTGCTCACTTCAGTAGTACATATACTAAAATTGGAATGTTACAGAGAAGATTAGCATGGCCTCTACGCAAGAATGACACACGATTTCGTGAAGCTTTCCATTAAAAAAAAAAACAAAAACAAAAAACTACCTGAAGACATTGGAAAGAGACCAAAACACAGGCAGATCCTGGAAGGCAGTCATCACTTGGCAGAAGGCAAATAAACTTGATGATTCATCATGTTTTGGGGGAAGTTGCCTAAGGGCAGGCTGTAGTATGTACCATGTTAGGGCTAGGGGAAGTGGGAGTCTTAAATAGAGAAAATCTAAAGTCTTACTGGTTTTTTTGTTTTGTTTTGTTTGTTTGTTTGTTTGTTTTTTGTCTTACTGGTTTGAAGAACTGGAGGAGAAAGTAAGAGCAAACATAGCAATTGAGAAGTGAGGATGGAAATTTCAGAAAAGAGCCTGATAGGGGAGCCTCAAATTCTGCATATAAGCTCCCTACATTTCTGACTGATTGCCAAACCATGCATGTGCAGGCTGGACGTGGAGACAGATTCCAAGCAGTCCAGCTAAGTTTAAAGGAACCAGACTGAATCTTCATCTGCCATCTACAAAAGGGGAGACAGTTTTCCATTTGAGTTCAGCCCACTTAACATCCTCTCCCTTCCTGACACACACACAAAGTTCTGACATACCAGGGTGAACAGGAGAACTGGAGACTGTTTTTGTGAGGTCTAAAAGGTACGTAGAAAAGTCCTGCAAGATTTCCAGTGAGCAACCAGTTTTCTAGAAAGAGCTTATTAATTGATCTTCAGAAATTCCCCCAAATTGTGAGATAGTGTATTTGATTTTTAAATATCACAGCACATTCATTCATCTTCAAATAGTCTGTGTATCTTGTTGGACAAAGTACACGTAATATTCCAAGTTCATTGGGAAGACTGGTTGGAACGAATCAGAGCAGTTCCTTAAATGTCAGCTCATGTTCAAGGCTTGTACCTTTAAGCCTGAATCAAAGTGTACAGGTTGGCTTTTCAGAGATGGAGACTTTGACATGGCTGATAGGTGTTTAGTTAATTGTGACAGATGATCTCTTGAACTTTTCATGGCTTCCAAATGTTCAGTTTGACATTCCTCTACTAGGCATGCCACTGCCTTTTATCTAATACATCTGAAGGAGACAAAGTCCATGAGTGGCTTCTAGTATGCTTTAGGAAAAAATCATATTTGTCTAATATGTATGTCTAATCAATATGCCTAATCTTCCCCCAACATATCAAATCTATTTCCTGTTTTAATCCTTTGTAGATTGTGCTTTGCATTTCCTGTCATTCCTTTAGTCATTTTCTTCAGGAATAGATTGTGAGCCAAACTGATATTCTGAAAATGGAGCAAAAGTTCCAAGGTTTTCCTGAGATTGTTCAGGAGTCTGGCTCTTGGTTAAACACTAATGTGTGATTTTATTTTAGGCCTGACCATACGCAATGACAAAGGCTTTACCTGGCAATCCTCATGAGAAAGCGGCCAACCCACCTCAGACTTGTTGTGCAGCTAGTGCATTGAAGTTTCTGTGGGGAGTTGGAGTTGATAACTCGGGCACCTCAGCCAGTCATGCTTTTTCACATCTTTGCATTTCTAGCAGCTTCCCATTCATTTCTAGGCCTTTTTACCTGAGGCCTTGGCAGGGGTCTTCTTCAGGAGCCTCTGCTGAGATGATCTTATGAGGGGATGGAGTGGGGGAGATTTTGAAGAAGCTTTCCCTCACTCTGACTCAGGACCCAGATTTTTCCACTCTTAGCACCTTGCCTGACTTACTCTATGGTTCCTAAACGAGCTGAAGTCTTCTGTTTAAAGCTCCCTCAGCCGTGAGATGACCCCACATCTGTGCTTCTCTAGCTGACTCCTGACCAGGGTGATACACTGTTTCTCTGGTTTTAGACCAGCAGTTCTCAACCTGTGGGTTGTGACCCACAGGAACTGTATTAAAAGGTTGCAACATTAGGAAGGTTGAGAACCACTGTTTTAGACTCTTGCTTAATCACTGTAAATGATTGAAGGCTTAACTCTCTCTTTTTTTCTGTTTTATTTTTTCTTTGGGGGGGTGTCACTGTTTGTTTTAATTGGCTGCTTGGGTACCTGACACCTCAGCCGAATTCCTGACAAGACTAATAACATTTTTTTTTCCACCACTAAGAATCACAGACCTAAAACAACTGGGCATACCAAGCAAGCTGGTACATAATAAACAAAGTGAGTTTTGCTCAATTTGCTCCAAAATATTTTATTAATAAAAGTCTTATATAAACAGCAAAATTGCAGAGAGTTAGGTGTCACACTGAATAACATTTTGAAAACACGTTCATGGTGGTAGTTTCTAATTTTCTACAAAATTGACCAGCCATGATGGAGTAAAGAGAGTTGAAATACTTCAAAGTACAAAAAGCACCATACTAGTTTTTAAGTGCAAAGGAAGCTCATAATAAAATAGACTTTAAAAATTACAAATAAAAATCTGTACATCAAGGATATTTTTAAGGCCTTCCCATGTGCATGGCCCTATGTAGGAAAAGAAGAACCATCGAGAGAGGAACCATCACCTCAGGTGTTATCATCACATCAGGTGCTGCAGGTCTGGCCCATTTCAGCTTGCAAAACCATCTCCTCTTTTCTCAAAGGGAAAGTATCAACCAGACTGAAGAGGGCCACAGGCATCACCAGGGAGACGTAGCGCTCCTTGTCCATGCCATGCTTATCCACTAGCACCATACTGAAGGAGTAGAGTGGGATTCGTAGCAGCAGCCTGGGGAAGACAGAGAAAATAGATGACTAAGTCAAACCCTAACTCCCAAAGGTTCTGGTTGACCAACCAAAACTCTACAGTGACATTGTGTATGGAGAAGACTTGATACCATAAAGGAATGAACCATCCTTTAGACTCTTTTATTTCAAATTAATATGAGGGTCTAAATTTATAGATTATGTTGTTCTCACTCTCAAGGTAAAGTTCCATTTTTAAAAGAACTCCTCACTCAGAGGGCATGCTATATACCCTAGCACTGTGTCCATTCGGTGAGATCCTGCCAAATGCTCCCCTCCTTCTGCCAATCATCCTCCCCCTCTCCTATCCTCTCTCCTTGCCCCTGTACTAGACATTGTGTTTTATTGTTCATGTGAGCATGTAATTGTTTATATATTGGTTTAATATTAACATTGAATACATTAGATATTTATTTTTCCATTCTTGAGATACTTGACTAAGAAGAATGTGTTTCAATTCCACCCAGATAAATATAAAAGATGTAAAGTCTTTATCTTTTTTTAATGGCTCAATAGTATTCCATGATATACATATACCACAATTTGTTGATCCATTCATGGGTAGATGGGTATTTGGGTTGCTTCCACAACTTGGCAGTTATGCAAACTAATACAACCTTTCTGAAGAGAAGTATGGAGAATCTGCAAAGAACTCAAAGTTGATATTCCATTTGAGCCTGCAATCCCATTATTAGGTGTCTACCCAGAAGAACAGAAATCATTTAACCACAAGGACATTTTCACAGGAACATTTATTGCAGCTCATGCTTTAGACTCTTGCTATTCAAAGTGTGGTCCTTGGACCACCAACCACACTTGTTAGAAATGGAGATTCTCCCACTCCAAACCTACCTAATTAGAATTTGTATTATCATCAAGGTCCCCAGATGACTGATACGCACATAAGAGGTTGAGAAGCACTGCTTTGGATTAAGGTCAAGAAGACTTCAGCCCTGCAAGGATGTCATGTTCCAGTAGTGGCTACATGGCATGTACAGGCTAACAGGTTTTTTTTTTTCATTAAATTGGAGTTAACCCAAGTTTGTTGATTCGTTTTGCAGAACCACGTACATGCTAAAACTAGGTCAGTGTTTATCAACAGGAGTGATTTTGTCCCCAACCCAGGGGGCATTGGCCCGATCTGGAGATATTTTTGGTTGTCACAATGTGGGGTAGAGATGTGACTGGTGTCTAGTGCATAGAGACCAGGGATGGTGCTAAACGTCCTGTAATGCACAGGAAAGCCTCCTCACCAAACCAAGAATTATCCCTTCCCATATGTCAACAGTGCCGAGGCTGAGAAACCCTGAGCTGAGTGAAGCTGATTGAAATAACTTTGCAAACATTATAGTTATGGGCTATTCAGCAGCCTACTCAGGACTGCAAGGATTGAGTTTGGTCTAATCACCAGGTATTCTGACTTGATTAATTATAATTTGACCTCAAATATTCCAAAAAGGAATTTGAAGTGGTTTCAAGTGTCTAAGGCTTTTTTTCTGCTCCAAATCACTATAATTGAAACTGTAAAAATATAATGTTTATATCAATCCAAGCATGTTTGGGGGAAAAGCCAGAGAAAGCAAACAAACAGATAAGCTGAGCCCAATGAACAAATGAGCCCACTCAGTCTCTCCTCCAGATTTTTTTTTCACTTTAGATATTTTGAGATTGTATATGAGGCCAAATATACACTAGCATCTGGGTTTAAAGGGAAATATTTTTCCCTTATACAATCAGATCAAGGTTAAATAAAACCATTACAAAAAACACAAATTGCACTTTTCTCTGTCTTTTAGAGACTATCAAGGCAAGAAGGGAATGATTAATATTTTATCCCAGTGGAAAGCTAAATTACTAATACATTTCTAGTGACTAGAAATGAAAGACAGAGGATATGACAATTGTTCCGCCAGGTTTCCTGCAGTGCTAATATGTGGGCTCAGGAGTAGATGACTTAGCAAAGTGCATTAATGAGGCTTTGAATATGTGAGCAGAGGATAGGCTATGAGACAGGGTGGGAAAGGAGAGCTAAACTGCTGTGGATCTTTAAGAAAGGGTATTGAATTTCTCTAGTTTTAACAGAGGGAGGTCCTAGAAAACAGAGAAGTAGAAAATATGGTGGCTGGAGCCTATGGGAAAGAGTGGCCAGTGAGTGTGGGAATAGATAGGCTGAGACCCCACGGACCCTTCAAAAGCCAGGGTACAGCCCGCAGGCAGGCTGCCCCTGTACTCTAAGGTGACCAGACGTCCAGCTTTTGGTGGGACAGTCCCGATTTTTAACAATTTGTCCCATGTCCCATGGTGTTTT